GTACATAAAATAATGTTTCGGCCAATTTTGATTCACTAGTTGTTACATAATGCTTTAAAATAGCATAATTATCCTTGCCCTCTTTCATTTTGTAAAAGTTTTTATGGACATTGAAAAACTAGCCAGTGATTCAATGCTATGTCGTATAAAAGCCACTTAGAATGCTAATGTGTGAAAATGAAAATTTCACACATAATAAAACAGAATAATTACCGTAAATGTAAACAGATAATGCTGATTTTACCAAACAAGGCTACTTGGTAAATTTAAAGTAAAAACAAAAATATGGTTTGGCTGTTATGGGACGAACGTCACCAAAATTGCGCAAAAAGCATTAATCATTACCGTAAATGTAAAAATCAATCATTCTGATTTAAAACAAAATACCGCTTGAAACTAATGGGCAAACGTCATGTGTCAGACAGCGACAGTGTCAGCGACGACGCGGACAGACAGACCAATCAGAATGTATACAGACAGTTATAACAGTGTCTGTATATTAAAATATGGCCAAGCAAGTGGAGCAGTCTCTACCAATCTTGGGTGAGCTTGGGAAGCCAGGCATCGACAGTGAGGGAGTGGAAAAAGTTTACGCAAAATGGGCCCATGAATATGATAAGGTAATGGTGAAATGATACGTGATCCGGTTTTGATAATAATTTGCTCACTTATCGACGTTGAAGGTTGCAGATTGTCGTACCCTTTCATCAAATTCTTGTCCTTCCCCACTGGATCAATACTATTTTTTCGACATCCCATTCTATTTCTTGTTTCTTTAGATAAATACTTTTTAATAGAGACAAAAAACTACATGTGCCTTAATCTAAGCTCAGATAACTTACTTTTAAGTAGATTAAAAGCAATAACCTCGTTTGTCACCCTAAATTGTTACCCTGAATTTGGGGTACAATATGAAAAATATATTTATCAATAAAACCATTTGATATTAATATGCTTTGGTATGATACTGTTATTAACTTTGGACATATATGTTTAAATCTTTCTAGGATATGGTAACTCTAAATTACACTCAACCAAGTGTCTGCGCAGCCGAAATAGAAAAGTGCTTAAAAGACAACAAAGATGCGCTTATTCTGGATGCCGCCTGCGGAACCGGTTTAGGGGGTATAGAGGTGATTAATATGTCTGAGTTAGGGGTATATGGATTACTATTTGTTAGTACTCACGTTAATACTGGCTCAACGTAAACTGCCAGATACGTTGACTCTGCGTCTGTAGACTTATAAACATATATCCAGTTTTTTATTTTTTATTTTTATTTATTTATTTATTTATTTTTATTTTTATTATTATTATTTTTTTTTTTGGGTGGGGGGTCATATTGCATGGCCAGCATATTCTTCGATACTGGGCAAAGGCAATAAATGCCTTTTGACACACGTTTGACCAAAGTATTTGCCACAATCTGGGCATGGAAACAAAGTAAAAATTGTCTACATGTAATATGTTTATATCTTCTAGCTGTCAAAGCGTGGTTTCTACAATCTCCATGCCTTCGACATGTGTAGTAAAATGCTTGAAAAGGCCAATCAGAAGAATGTCTATAAAAAGGTTATGTGTATGAGGCTTGGTCCTGATGTGCTGGATATCCCTGATGGTATGTACCTTACACACGAACACACTCAATATATATCTCTTATCTCTCTAGCTGCGGGATTAGTGTAAAATAATGGCCAAATCGGCTAAAGGTGCCAAATGTTGCAATGTGACACCCGTTACCATGATGAAACAATATCTGGAGAATTACATGTACTTCGTTTTGACAAACTACCAATTGCAAGATGTTCGCCAATTTATATGATTTTACAAATATATACACACCTAGATGTGTCTAAGTTACATGTAGTTCCTGACAAAGAAACCATTGTTTGGTTAAAAACCTAAATACTTATTTATTTGGTCGTTGCATTTATAGATGGAATCAAAATGTGATGTAGTAATGAAGTATTCACGAGAAAAAATGAATTGTCAAAATATTACGTCCAGATTAAATACTCATTCAAGCTTCGTGAATTTATAAAAAGGAATACTCAATACAATTGGCATACCTGGAAACTTCAGCGAAAGTATAAAGAGTGTGATACCACTTAAGTATACTTAAGTGTAACAATCATACCATTTACAAAACCTCGAAAAACATTTTATTTGTCATTAAAATTTTTTTTCTACTTTTAGTTTTTTAAAGGATTTTTAAAAAATCCTAACCGCTAAATGCTTATGTACCAATAATTGGCAATATTATTCCATATGTTTTTTTTTTTAATTAAACGTGTTTAAATGGCAATTTAAGATGAAACATTTTATAATGGAGCTCTTATCTTAAGTCTATCTCGTACACAACGTCGGCACCCTGGAGAACTCTTTTGTATAATATTCTTTGTTTATTTATTACCAGACACGTACGATGTGGTCATGATGACAGGAGCGGTAGGTAATGCTCATATGGATGGAAGCTGCTTTGCAGAATTCATTCGTATTGTCAAACCAGGTAGGTGAAGGCGACATTCACTTTGTCTCATTTCATGACACATTTTTCTAGGGCGTTATGATAATAATTTTAAAAAGGACGATACATAATGTGTGCAACGCATTGATTATTTTGACTAGGTACCGTACCTGTATGAAAGACCCAGTAAGATTTCGTGCTGGTATATAGTGCGAAATTAGCTCATTTAAATAAGAGAGTGCAAGTTTGTAAAATACTGCATGTGCAAATGTTAAAAGTTTAAATAAAATGCGTGCTAGCACAGGAAGCCAGTGCAACATCATTAAAACGGGGTGATGTGGTTGCCTTTTGGAGTGCGGGTCAGTAGGCGAGCAGATATGTTCTGTGCATGCTGCAGCCGTTTGCTTTCTTCCTCCAAAGATCCATATAAAAAAGGAGTTGCAGTAGTCAAGTCTTGATGTAACCAGGGTATGTATAACTGTTGCTGAAGTAGAATCAGTCAGATGTTTTCGTAAATAACCAATGTTTCTAATATTGAACATGCACGTTTCGGATACGTAAGAAATTTGCCTGTCCATGGACAATGTACTGTCAAAATGGACTCACAGGTTTTTTTGCGTGAGATGAGATTTGTACAACGGTGGCACCTATAGTCATGATGCTAAGACTGCGGGCAATATTCCTATTGTGTGGTTGAGATTAGGAATTCAGTTTCCTCGTCATTGATCTTCAGTTATTTTCTTATTATCCACCCCTCAGGTGGGAAAAACAGTTAGTTATTTCAGAAACCGATGTTTCAGGGTATCTAATATTGCAGAATGTGTAAAGCTGAGGGTCATTTGCATATATGTGAATCTCGTGCAATCTCGTGAAAACGAAGGATTGCCCCAAGCGATAAAGTATAAATACAGAATATGAGTGGTCCAAACACACTGCCTTGTGGAACACCAAAAACATGTTGAGCTAATCTCCGTCCATGCATACTTATTGTGATCTGTAAGGTATGATAGGAGAAGATTTAGTGCTGTATCTTTTATCCCAAAAGTTTCTGATGATCCACAGTGTCGAATGCGAGAGAACAAGTGACACAGTAGTTTGACTGTCGACAGCACAGAGCAAATCATTTTTAATTCTAAGGAGTGCTGACTCGATGTTGTGGTTCACCTTGTATGCCGACTGCATTTTCTATACCATGATATTTGCATCTAAGTGACTGAACAATCTTGCAGCGATCACACGCTCTACCAATTTAGACAGCAATGTGTAACGTATTTTTGCCAAAGTTTTGCATTTAGTTTAGGCTTTTTCAATAGCGGACGGATAATTGCAGGTTTAAACAACTCGGGGAAATCCCCGGTTCTAAAATAAATGTTTACAATATGAGTTATGAGACCAATAATTGCAGGAAGAATCTGGGAGAGCAGTGTTGACGGTATAGGATAAAGTGGGCATGATGTCCTCTTGGATCTAGAAAGATTTTTGTCACCTCGTCTTCCGTTGCTTCCTCGAAGGCAGTAAGTAAGAGTGAAGGCTTCGGGAAAAGATCAGAGATTTGGGGATGTAGTAGTGCCGCCACTTAGGAATATTGAAATTTTTATTAAAAAAACGTTTTCTAATGTACCTTTTTATACAGGTACATAGTCAAAATAATCAATGCGTTGCACACATTATGTATCGTCCCCTTTTAAAGTATTATCTTATCGCCCTAGAAAAAAATACACCGAGCAAGAACAGTTGTATAATTTGGAAATACATATTCATATTACCTGATGACAAATTTTAAAAAAGCCCTTTTTTAATAATCTAAATGCAAAACTGTTTGAAAAAAGGGAAACCATGGCTGTTCAGTTATTTTATCTTTCAGGTGGTTACGTGGTTATGGACACCATTGATAAATACATAAATGGCAGTGAATGTGGAGGCAAGAGCTGGGATGAGTTAATAGATGACTTCCTCATGGCAGGACGCTGGGTCACGTTGACCAGACGAAAGGTGGAGAACGCGTTTAACAGTCTTGATGGAATGCAATACGCGTTTCAAGTGAAGTAATGTTGTCTTGGAAAGGTGGGGTGGGGTGAGGTGGAGCTGTTGTCCCCACCTACTTTAACTACGTTAGTCATGAGCGCGAAAAGCAGATGGTGAACTATGGGAATATTCTCGCGGCTCGCGGCTTAAATGTGCTTCCTATTAAGTACTTAATTTGGAAAAGCAATTATTATCAACGGAATATAGCATCAACTTTAAACTAGTAAATATTTAACTGCTTACAATTCTAGGAACTAGGGAGATTCTACAGGGTTCTACATGTATGTATGGCGTATGTACGTGTATAAGTGACAGCTGGCCTATTTGCTTTTGTATAATTTGAGTCAATCCTTAAAAGTTATGTATACATACCTGCAATAAAATCCCATACGGCAAATGACACAGCAAGGGTACCGGCTCACACCAGATACAGTGGTCGGAATATCTTGTTTCCGTTGNGACAAAGCGTGGTTTCTACAATCTCCATGCCTTCGACATGTGTAGTAAAATGCTTGAAAAGGCCAAGCAGAAGAATGTCTATAAAAAGGTGATGTGTATGAGGCTTGGTCCTGAGGTGCTGGATATCCCTGATGGTATGTACCTTACACACGAACACACTCAATATATATCTCTTATCTCTCTAGCTGCGGGATTAGTGTAAAATAATGGCCAAATCGGCTAAAGGTGCCAAATGTTGCAATGTGACACCCGTTACCATGATGAAACAATATCTGGAGAATTACATGTACTTCGTTTTGACAAACTACCAATTGCAAGATGTTCGCCAATTTATATGATTTTACAATTATATACACACCTAGATGTGTCTAAGTTACATGTAGTTCTTGACAAAGAAACCATTGTTTGGTTAAAAACCTAAATACTTATTTATTTGGTCGTTGCATTTATAGATGGAATCAAAATGTGATGTAGTAATGAAGTATTCACGAGAAAAAATGAATTGTCAAAATATTACGTCCAGATTAAATACTCATTCAAGCTTCGTGAATTTATAAAAAGGAATACTCACAATTGGCATACCTGAAAACTTCAGCGCAAGTATAAAGAGTGTGATACCACTTAAGTATACTTAAGTGTAACAATCATACCATTTACAAAACCTCGAAAAACATTTTATTTGTCATTAAAATGTTTTTCTACTTTTAGTTTTTAAAAGGATTTTTTAAAAATCCTTACCGCTAAATGCTTATGTACCAATAATTGGCAATATTATTCCATATGTTTTTTTTTTTTCAAATTAAACGTGTTTCAATGGCAATTTAAGATGAAACATTTTATAATGTAGCTCTTATCTTAAGTCTATCTCGTACACAACGTCGGCACCCTGGAGAACTTTTTTGTATAATATTCTTTGTTTATTTATTACCAGACACGTACGATGCTGTCATGATGACAGGAGCGGTAGGTGATGCTCATATGAATGGAAGTTGCTTTGCAGAATTCATTCGTATTGTCAAACCAGGTAGGTGAAGGCGACATTCACTTTGTCTCATTTTATGACACATTTTTCTAGGGCGATATGATAATAATTTAAAAAAGGACGATACATAATGTGTACAACGCATTGATTATTTTGACTAGGTACCGTACCTGTATGAAAGACCCAGTAAGATTTCGTGCTGGTATATAGTGCGAAACTAGCTCATTTAAATAAGAGAGTGCAAGTTTGTAAAATACTGCATGTGCAAATGTTAAATGTTTAAATAAACTGCGTGCTAGCACAGGAAGCCAGTGCAACATCATTAAAACGGGGTGATGTGGTTGCCTTTTGGAGTGCGGGTCAGTAGGCGAGCAGATATGTTCTGTGCACGCTGCAGCCGTTTGCTTTCTTCCTCCAAAGATCCATATAAAAAGGGAGTTGCAGTAGTCAAGTCTTGATGTAACTAGGGTATGTATAACTGCTGCTGGAGTAGAATCAGTTAGATGTTTTCGTAAGTAACCAATGTTTCTAATATTGAACATGCACGTTTCGGATACGTAAGAAATTTGCCTGTCCATGGACAATGTGCTGTCAAAATGGACTCCCAGGTTTTTTGCGTGAGATGAGACTTGTACAACGGTGGCACCTATAGTCATGCTAAGACTGCGGGCAATATTCCTATCGTGTGGTTGGGATATTACTAGGAATTCAGTTTCCTCGTCAGTTATTTCCTTATTATCCACCCCTCAGGTGAGAAATACAGTTAGTTATTTTAGAAACCGATGTTTCAGGGTATCTCATATTGCAGAATGTGTAAATCTGAGAGTCATCAGCATATATGTGATAACCAATCTCGTGAAAACGAAGGATTGCCCCAAGCGATAATGTATAAATACAGAATATGAGTGGTCCTAACACACTGCCTTGTGGAACACCAAAAACATGTTGAGCTAATCTCCGTCCATGCATACTTATTGTATTAAGGTAAGAACGGAGAAGATGCAGAGCTGTATATTTTATCCCAACAGTTTCTAATGATCCACAGTGTCGAATGCGAGAGAACAAGTGACACAGTAGTTTGACTGACGACAGCACAGAGCAAATCATTTTAAATTCTAAGGAGTGCTGACTCGGTGTTGTGGTTCACCTTGTATGCCGACTGTATTTTCTCTACCATGTTATTTGCATCTAAGTGACTGAACAATCTTGCAGCGATCACACGCTCTACCACTTTAGACAGAAATGTATAACGTATTTTTGCAAAAGTTTTGCATTTAGTTTAGGCTTTTTCAATAGTGGACGGATAATTGCAGGTTTAAACAATCCCCGGTTCTAAAACAAATGTTTACAATATGAGTTATGAGACCAATAATTGCAGGGAGAATCTGGGAGAGCAGTGTTGACGGTATAGGATAAAGTGGGCATGATGTCCTCTTGGATCTAGAATGGTTTTTGTCACCTCGTTTTCCGTTGCTTCCTCGAAGGCAGTCAGTAAGAGTGAAGGCTTCTGGAAAAGATAGAGATTGGGGGATGTAGTAGTGCCGCCACTTTGGAATATTGAAATTTTTATTAAAAAAACGTTTTCTGATGTACCTTTTTATACAGGTACATAGTCAAAATAATCAATGCGTTGCACACATTATGCATCGTCCTTTTTTAAAGTATTATCATATCGCCCTAGAAAAATATACACCGAGCAAGAACAATTGTACAATTTGGAAATACATTCATATTACCTGATGACAAAATAAAAAAGCCCTTTTTTAATAATCAAAATGGAAAACTATTTGAAAAAAGGGAAACCATGGCTGTTCAGTTATTTTATCTTTCAGGTGGTTACGTGGTTATGGACACCATTGTTAAATACATAAATGGCAGTGAATATGGAGGCAAGAGCTGGGATGAGTTAATAGATGACTTCCTCATGGCAGGACGCTGGGTCACGTTGACCAGACGAAAGGTGGAGAACGCGTTTAACAGTCTTGACGGAATGCAATACGCGTTTCAAGTGAAGTAATGTTGTCTTGGAAAGGTGGGGTGGGGTGAGGTGGAGCTGTTGTCCCCACCTACTTTAACTACGTTAAGCGAAAAGCAGATGGTGAACTATGAGAATATTCTCGCGGCTACTTTTCTGCCCCTCACAGTCAAACTTAAATGTGCTTCCTATTAAGTACTTAATTTGGTAAAACAATTATTATCAACGGAATTCAGCATCAACTTTAAACTAGTTAATATTTAACTGCTTACAATTCTAGGAACTAGGGAGATTCTACAGGGTTCTACATGTATATATGGCGTATGTACGTGTATAAGAGACAGCTGGCCTAATTGTTTTTATATAATTTGAGTCAATCTTTAAAAGTTATATATATATATATATATATATATATATATATATATATATATATATATATATATATATATATATATATATATATATCTGCAATAAAAACCCATACGGTATATGACACAGCAAGGGTACCGGCTCACACCAGATATTTTTCAATGTTACCAGAATGATACAACAGATTGGTCACGTCTTGCACGAATATCTGTTTTACTCGATGAAAGTGAATGCTATGTTCACCGTGCGTACAGTGTAGCTGTATTCTGCATTATCGAAAACATTAGGCAAATGCAACTTGAGCCGAGTGAGCGGACATTTGAGTGGCGACTTTGTTTACTTAAAACACTATACTACATTTTTCCGTCGGTTTACCGATAAATTATTTGACTGTTTATGTAGATGTTCATTGGGTAGATTTTAGACTACGAATTCGGTAAAAAAATCAATAAATATAAAATTATCTCTCCATAATTATTATTCAACTAAAAGATTTGTGTTTTGCAGGATGGAGGTGCTACTAATTTCTACTACATTTGTACAGTATAACAATCTATTACACACGTTTTGGTCTCAAGGATTGACTTTATGGTGGTAGAAATATTGAAAACATTTCGAAATCAATCTTAAAAAGATTAAGCCTTCTAAGCTTTCCACACAAAAATTATATCTAACAAATTTCCCCAGTGCTAAGTCCCCCTTCCCTGACTAACCATCTTTTTATCTTTCTTTTCTGCCACTCGCCCTAACTCATTTATTTGGAAAACACAAACGATCAAACGCGAGTATTCTGGAAACCCTATTCATTCCACTAACTCCGGATATGTCGAGACTGCCGTGATCTTTGTTATTTCAACAGATGGCTGCCTACTAAAGTTGAACAGGGAATGGTAATTATGATTCTTTTTTATAATATCGATTAAGGCCATTCATCTGACAGTATATGTTTTTAAAGTAATAATTATCAGCATATGCGTTCTGCAAGAAACAATTCATGCACTTAAAATGCGTTAATATTCTTTAATATATATTTTCAAAACACATTCATTTGAACTTACCGAGAAGTTAAGCATCATCTACCACAATACACTCCAAAG